TGGCACCGATATTGGTATCGGTATAACCCTACCCTGATCACATTTGGCTTTAGAGTGCAAGAAGACTAAATCATGCTGTACAACTAGGTCTTGTCCTTGCCTGTAACTGGCCAGTAAAAGAGAAGCAGCAGGCTGATAAATGTGTGCTGTCACACTTGTATGAAAATGTAATACACTGCAGTCATGGTTTATTATTTATTACTGGTACTTATATAGCACTGTCAATTTTTGCTCAGCGTTTTACATATATATTGTACATTCACATCAGTCCCTAAACCTCAAGAGGTGTACATGTTCATATTACTGTGAACTGAGAATCTATATACTTAATTAACTTAAGCAATTGTTTAACCGCTTTCCCTCTGCCTTATATTAGAAATACTGCTACAGGGCGGCAGAGATGCACAAAATCATATATAGTGTGTGTGTGATTTCGCAGTTTTGGGTAGGGGGCGCGTGCCATTCACGGCCTCGGCTATCAATCACCAGGTCCCGGCTGGTGTTTACTCGCCGTCACCCAGTAATCGCCGAGTATCTCCGACAGGGAAGAGACCTGTATGTAAACAATACAGATCTCCCCCCTGCCAGCTCCTGCACACTTCTTTATATGGCTCTGCTATGCGTATTATATGCTATGCATATATAGGGCTCTGCTATTCTTACAGTGAAACAGTCACAGCTCACATTGTAAAACAGCACATAGTTAACCCTTTCATCGCCCCACATGTTAACCCCTTTCTGCCCAATGCCATTAGTACAGTGTCAGTTCTTTTTATTAGCACTGATCACTTTATTGGTGTCACTGGGGATGTCAGTGACACCAAGTCAGTTCCCCCCCAGTGTCAGAATGCCCACCACAGTCCTGCTATAAGTCGCTGATCTTCGCCATTACGCATGCATTGAAGACTCTTAGGGCTCAATCACACTAGGAACTGCTTGTGAATCACACAGGAATGTGCTGTGTGTTCCTGTGCAATTCACATGCGGTTCTGTGCAGTGCGATTTCAGCCTATTCACTACTTTTTGGAAACTCCCTGCAACCGGATCCCGTAATACTTTTGTACCATACAATCTGGTGTGGACAAATGCACTATGTTTGGTGCTTCGTTAACTTTGCACTGACACCCACTGCAGATTGCAAGGGCAGTGGGATTTGAATGAGGTGCGAAAAGCGGGTTTCCCGCCCAGCATTCTAGTGTGAGTGGGCCCTTAAAGGTGGTGTATAGTATTTTCAGTTTTTTGTATAGGTAAAAGAGGTAATTCTGCTGTAAACAATATTATCAATGAATATTTAGACCCCAAAACAGTAATATATTGAAGCTTACCAATCTTTAGTTGTGGCGGGTGCATTTTTTTTTTAGCTTTTTTTTTTCCTGTCCCTTTATTTTCACATGGTGATCCAGCTAGTAACACACTTCCTGTTCTAGGGTCTCTGTATTCTGAATGAAGTAGCCTTTGGGCAGCGGCACCTGAACTTTAGCTAACACTTTTTAGGCAGTTACCGCCCTGGTGCCCAACCTGTGGCCCAAGTACAGCCCTCGGACCTCAGCAGTCTGTAGTGGGAACATTGATTAGGGTAATTGCATTGATCTCTACTATGTAGCTTGTTCCCTGTTTTGTATTGTCTCTGCAGCATATCCCCAGCCAAAAATGTAGCCTGACCCTCATTTTCTCTATTAGGTCTGCACTTTCTGACAGCCTTTCACGCATTTCAAATATTGAACATTACATGTGGCCCTTTGGTGATGTCGAGGGGCCGCATTTGAGGCCTTTTTTTAGCTTATAACCACAGTTACAGTTTTTTTTTTTTTTTTCTTTTTGGGATAAAGGTTATTATATACAGCAGGTAAAATAAGTATTGAACACGTCACCATTTTTCTCAGTGAATATATTTCTAAAGGTGCTATTGCCATGAAATTTTCACCACGTGACAGTAACAAACCATGCAATCCATACATACAAAGAAACCAAAACGCATAAGTTCAGAGATTACGTTTTATATGTAATAAAATAGAATGACACAGAGAAAAAATATTGAACACATGAAGAAAGGGAGGTGCAAAAATGCATGGTTAGCCAAGACACCAGTGGAAAGGACACAGGGAAAAAGTGTTGAACACATTAACTGAAATATATTTAATACTTTGTACAAAATCCTTTGCTGGTAATGACAGCTTCAAGATGCCTCCTGTATGGAGAAACTAGTCGCATGCATTGCTCAGGTGTGATTTTGGCCCATTTTCCACACAAACAGTCTTCAGTGAAATTTTGGTATTGATATTGAAAATGTGACTGATGATGCCAAAAAATGCTCTTTTATTGAAGGATGATGACCATATGAAGCCATTTATTATCAAACAGTTTGTTTGGCTCCTCTTTAAATCATAATGATAACAGAAATCACCCAAATGGCCATGCGTAACATGGTAATGGCACTTTATAAAGATGGAAAAAGGACATAAAAAGATTTCCAAAGCTTTGAATACGCCAATCAGTACTGTTAAATCACCTATTAAGAAGTGGAAAGTTCGGGGATCTCTTGATACCAAGCCAAGGTATGGTAGACCAAGAAAGATTACAGCCACAACTGACAGAAGAATTGTCCGAGATTCAAAGAAAAACCCACAGGCAACCTCAAAAGAAATAAAGGCTGCTCTGGAAAAAGATGGTTTCCATGTTATAAACTTCCATTACCTTATTACACAGGACTTTTGACAGTTCTTTTCTGATCCCCATGGCTCAGTATCTAGCCTAGTCAGTGCTTCCACGTAAGAGCTAACAAACTCTGACTATTTATACACTGACACTAATTGCAATTTAAAAAGCCACAGATGTAGGACATTAACCTCTAATTGGCATTTTAACCTGTGTGTGTCACCTTGTGTGTCTGTACCAAGGCCAAACATTCCAGGGTATGTAAACTTTTGATCATGGCCATTTGGGTGATTTCTGTTATCATTATGATTTAAAAAGGAGCCAAACAACTATTTGATAATACATGGCTTCATATGATCATCATCCTTCACTAAAAGAGCATTTTTAGCATGATCAGTCATATTTTCAATATCAATGCCAAAATTTCACAATTTCTGCCAGGGTATGCAAACTTTTTAGCACAACTGTATATTTGTTAAAGCAAAGGCCCTAGAGAATAAAATGGTGGGTGTTGAAATTTTTAAATTTCAGCGAGTTTTTAAACGCAAATCTTTTGGGAAAAATACACTTTTTAGAATTTGAATGCACAAAAACACAATATATTGCCCAATTTGATAAAACATAAAATATGATGTTACACTGAGTAAATGGATACCAAACCTGATATGCTTTAAAATTCTGCATGCCTGTGCAATGGCGACAAAGTACATACATTTTTAATATCGATAGGCGACGCTTTAAAAGCCTTTTACAGGTCACCAATTTATATTCACAAAGGAGGTCTAGTGCTATAATTACTGCCTTCGATCTGATGTTTGCGGTGATACCTCACATGCATGGTGCAATCTCTGTGTATGTACCGAAACCGGACCCAAGGCTTCCATTCACCTTTGCGCACGAGCACAGGAAGGGCAGAGGGGCAGGGGTGATTTTTTTTTTTTTTTTTTTTAATCGCTTTTATTGTTATCACAGAGAATGTAAATATCCCCTGTGATAGCAATAGGCAGTGACGGGTATTCTTTTCTGAGAAATCTGGGGTCTATTAGACTTTAGATATCTCCTCTGCCCTTAAAGCATCTGATCTCACCAAGACTGGTGTGATCAGATGCTTTCCCAATTTAAAAATGGCGCTGTTAAAGTCTGGCGAAACGGAAATAATGAAATGCTCGTAGCTTCCGGTCTTTAGACCATAGAGATAATTGGAGCCATTCTGGTCTCCAACCACCTCTATGATCAGCCAGAGGAACTGCTGGATGCATTTCGGATTCCCCTTTGGGACAGGAAAACCCAAGAAAACTGTGGAAGGCGGCAGGGGGGGTGGGATGGGAAATGTCCCTTCCCGCTGCTTGTAAAAACGATTCAGCAGCTAATTGGCCACTTGGATTGCTTTTACATGAAAGCTAACCACCAACTGAACCCCCCCCCCCCCCCTTTGTGAAGAAACCTAGATTATAGCAAAGGTTGTGATCACATTGGGGTTTCTTGGTAGCTGCAGTGAACAAACAATGCAAATATAAAGTACAGGTGCAGTGAGGTTCCAGGGGATATGTAGATAACCAGAGTATGGGCAGCTCGAAGAACTCATCTGACCAGCAATGAGACATGAGCACATAACCACAAGTAAAGGAGCGCTCCCAACCCTGTGGAAGTCAATAGCGTCACAGGCCCATGAACGGATACAATCCAAATTCACTTTAATGTTGGGTTAATGTTACCCAGATTGATACATCATCAAGCCAGTGGAGAGCAGAAACACACATTCCCAGAAGCTAAAGGATGATACATGATCCTGGACCCAACAGTAGGTTGCTAAGCTCATGAGCCTCAGGACAGTTTAAGGATTGTGTGGATGGCACATCTCCCGTAAGTCACATATCTCGAAGCAAATGTGATGTCATACACCTGGCAGAATACCGTCTGGACAACAGCTGGCCATACAAAGGGCAAACTGGAAGCCTAGGAGAGCTCACTCAATCCATGTCAAACCAAAGAAGAGAAGCCGGTCATCATGATTCCCAACATTAAAGTGAATTTGGATTTAATCTGTTCCTGGGCTTGTGACTCTACTGATTTCCACAGGGTTGCTCCTTTTACTTGTTGTTTTGTTAGCTGCAGTGACCACTTTGGAGCATGGCAGAGCTAATCTATCATATTACAGTGCCCTATGTTTCAGGGTACCGAGAAGCTGAAGACATCCAAAGTTGTGTGCAGACATGCCAGCCTTTTCCTTGCTGACTCTCTTTACTTTAAATGCGATTTAATATATTTGTTTGGAATTTCAGACATGTAGGTTTCATAATTTTGTTACATGACGCAAAATGGCATTTTATGTTTTTAATTTTTAGATGAACCTCCCAATCTCCCTTATTTTGTGAGACGATCTCGAATGCACAACGTTCCAGTGTACAAAGACATCACTCATGGAAATCGTCATATGACCGTTATCCGCAAGATTGAAGGTGACATATGGGTGAGCACACAACTGTATAATTTTTTATTTATTTGAGGTACTTATGTAGTGCCGTCAATTTACGCAGCGCTTTACATATATATATTGTACATTCACATCAGTCCCTAACCCTCAAAGGGTGTACAATCTAAGGTCCCTAACTTACATTCATACATACACATACTAGGGCCCAATTTAGACAGGAGCCAATTATAATTTTATCAGACTACTTTCCTTTACAACTAGATTAGATAAATAAAATGTGTTTTGTTTTAGCTTCTATGCATTCAACAAAACACATTTCTTATTACCAACTGCTTTGAAGAGAAAAGCTTGTATCCACGCTTTGCCAGTTGCTTAAACCTCCTCTTTCTGCATATACCATTGTCATGCTGATTTCTAACTGATCAGTGTGAATTTACAGAAGGTGTAGCCTTCTGGGGAATACAAATACAACTTGTCTAATCATGTAATGTTCTGTACTTTCCACAGGTTCTTGAAACTGAAGTACGAGACTTTTTGACCCAGCTAACAGGAAGGACACCAGCAATACAAGTTAATGAGATCGCTAGGAGCATCAAAGTCAAAGGATATTTTGATAAAGAACTACAGACTTGGCTTGCTGAGAAGGGCTTTTAACATGGGTAGAACTGAGATCATATTCCTCCTTGGGAAAGTGCAAATAGTGTAGCCACTGCAAGCAAGAGTGACTACGGTCACAATTTCCACTTGTGGTTGCCTCTGCAAATTAGGCTACAAATATACTTGTAAAATAGACATAACCTTTCAAAAGTATTGTAAATATGATTCTTGCAAATAAAGCTTTGTTTTGCAGTATGTTGGTAATACTGTATATGTAGAATCGGATGTAAATCAGTGTGTTAAAATATGCATAAGGTTCTTCCATTCCAGGGAAACGGGAACCACAAGCACTGGGGTGTAGGTCCTTCTCTAGAAAGTAGGATACAAAAAAAAGCATATTTGTACTGTAGAGGTAGAATAATCTTTAGCTATTCTTTAACATTTGTTCAAAGAACTATGCATCAGGGTTGGCTATTATTGGACTGTTTAGCCATAGAAGCATGATTAGAGGATTGTTCCTCTCTTGATCTCTGTAATGTCTCCGCAGCCCCCATTGATTTTCCTGCTATTTGTTATTTCTGACTACTAGAACTGATGAAAAACAATTTGCTTGGTCAGGATGCATTTACCATTGCACAGGGGGGCCCCCTCCGGCAGTGGCCACTCCACCTTTCCTGTATATGCTCCCATAGCAAGCCAAAGACACACACAGCGTGGCCTGGCCCCACCCCTCCTCACTGAATTGTACCTGTAATGTAAAATATTCATTTGATTGAACCACCTCAATACCACCGTACATGTGTATATACAACCTTTTATTGAGGTGGTTATAATTGGATCCAGGATCATGGTTACAGTTCCAGTTTTGCTAAGTCGGCGATTTTGCACAATGTAAAAGTGATCTAAGCAACTATACAGATGCTAGATTAATTTTACAGGCGGTGGAACACACACATGATCGATCGCCTGTCCCTTCCTACCAGTCCTACCTGGGACCAGTGCGACCTGTTCGTTGGTATGCATTCCTTGCTGTCAGAAAGCTAAAGCAACAAGGATATTGTCACTTCCGGTTTTGGTTTGTTGTTTATAAGCTGGGAAAAGCATCTGAGCTAGCCAGTCTCATTTTGAGCAGATGCTTTGGAAGTCACGAGTGATTTGGGCTCCAAAAAAAGAACTTGACACGGCCCATGCTATCACAAGGGATGTTGTTCATCCCTTATGATAGCAATAAAGTTGATTCAAATAAAAAAATAGGTAAAGTGTAAAAATACGAATTTAAATAAAATCTTTTTTTTTTTTAATGTGCCCCCATCCCCCTGTGCTCACACACAAATGCAAACATGCATATGTAAACAGATATTGCACCATACATGTGAGATATTGCCATGAGCAATATGTCTAGCACCAGACCTGCTATGTAACTCTAAACCAGTGTTTCTCAACTCCAGTCCTCATGGACCCCCAACAGGTCATGTTTTCAGGATTTCCATTATTTTGCACAGGTGATTTGATCAGTTTCACTGCCTTAGTAATTACTACAGCTGTTTCATCTGAGGGAAATCCTGAAAACATGACCTGTTGGGGGTCCATGAGGACTGGAGTTGAGAAACACTGCTCTAAACCGATAGCCTGTAAAGGATTTTTAAATGTCACCTATGGATAATTTAATGTACCGTAGTTTGTCACCATTCCATGGGCATGCACAATTTTAAAGCATGACATGCTTGGTATGCATTTACTCGGCATAATATCATCTTTTATATTTTACCAAAACATTGGGTGTTATGGTATCTTCGTGTTCACTAAAATTAGGTAAATATGATGTTTGGGTGTTCTAAGTAATTTTCTAATAAAACATGCAGATTTTAACATGCAGCAAAGAAATGGCCTGGGGTCAAGTGGTTAAATTAGCTGTATATTTCTTGCTATTACCATACCCTACTGCCAAAGAACAATCCAAAATAAATTCTCCTGCTCCCAATGATTGCAGCAGTACCACATATGTGTATATTTATTGTTTGTACCTGTAGTAGGGTCCAAAAACAATAGTGCGCATTTTGCTTTATTATTTTTTTTTTTTTTTTTTTTTTTAAATACTACTTAAAGAATATGTAAACCCAACATTTCATATTCCTGAAATGTGTCTGCTGTACCAGGTACTTATAGGAAAAGGATCCTGTTCTCTTTATATTGCTTCCTTTGTGTGAAATCCCTGGTGTTTCTGCCAGCCCCTCTGCTTTCCTATTAAAAACTGACCATGCTAGGCATGAGCACACAGCATGGTCTGTTCTCTAGCTTTTGCTGTCATGCCCCCATCCATTCACTGGAAGTGCTGCTGTTTCTCCTCCCCCAGCTCTCGGTTCTCAGCTGCATAAGGAAGGGTTTGTGATCTCTTATAAAACGGGAAAAAAAAAAAAAAGATATTTATTTTTTTTTATATGTATACACAAATGTTTTGCCTTTCATTTTAAAGTGAATGGGTTGTTTTGCAAGCTGAGGTTTTACATATACTTTAAAACACAATACGAATTAAAAAAAAAAAAAAATTCTAAAATACACTGACCCTGACCTAGCAATTTCTTTTTATTTTGCACATCTTTGTTTACACTTTTCTCCTCTTACAAGGAGAAAAAGGTATATTTTTCTGTATTCAAGAGGGGAAAAAAAATACACAGGCTGTACCGTGACTGGTCACAGTGATATTCAGTCAGAGGCTATCACAGCAATCAGGTGATCAGGAACCAGGTCTCTCAGTTCCTGATTGTTAGTTCGGAACCGGGGGCTCCCGGTAAGAGTGTTCCCAGCACAAACACAGCTATGCATATACAGTGGGTAAAATAAGTACTGAACACGTCACCATTTTTCTTGGTGAATATATATTTGTAAGGGTGCTCTTGACATGAAGTTTTCACATGTCGGTATCAACCCATGCAATCCATACATACAAAGAAACCAAAACGCATTAGTTCAGAGATTAAGTTATATGGAATGAAATGGAAAAGTATTGAACACATGAAGAAAGGAAGGTGCAAAAAGACATGGAAAGCCAAGACACCAGCTGAAATCTATCAGTAATTAGAGAACAATCCTGCCCCTTATCAGTGAAAATTGCTATCAGCTGGTTCAGTCTCAACTATATGTATAACTATATATATACTACATGGCCTATAAAAAAAAAAAAAAAGTGTCTCATTACTAAGGTGTCACACAAGAAACATCTCATGATGTGTAAAAACAAAGAGCTCTCTCAAGACCTTTACAACCTTACTGTTGCAAAACATACGGATGGCATTGGTTACAGAAAGATTTCTAAACTTCTCAATTTTCCAGTGAGCACTGTTTGGGCCATAATCCGGAAGTGAAAAGAACATAATTTCACCATAAACCAGCCTCGACCAGCTGCTCCTTGCAAGATTTCTGACAGAGGAGTAAAAAAAGAATGATCAGAAGAGCTGTCCAAGAGCCAAGAACCACTTGTGGAGAGCTTCAGAAAGACCTGGAATTAGCAGCTACAATTGCTTCAAAGAAAACAATAAGCAGTACACTCAACCGCCATACCCTGTACGCACGCTCACCATGCAAGACTCCATTGCTGAAGAAAAAGCATGATGAAGCTCATTTAAAGTTTGCTGCACAACATTTAGACAAGCCTGTGAAATACTGGGAGAATATAGTCTGGTCAGATGAGACCAAACTCTTTGGAGGTCAAATGACACTGCACATCACCCCAAAAACATCATACCAACAGTGAAGTTTGAAGGTGGGAACATCATGGTGTGGGGCTGTTTTTCAGCATACGGTACTGGCAAACTTCATGTCACTGAAAGCAGGATGAATAGAAAAATGTACCACAACATTCTTGATAAAAATGTGCTGCCATCTACCAGGATGATGAAGGTGAAACAAGGGTTGACATTTCAGTAAGAGAATGTCCCAAACACAAAGCCAAGTAAACTCAACTGGTTTCAAAGAAAGAAAATAAAGCTGCTAGAATGGCCCAGCCAATCACTTGACTTAAATCCAATAGAAAAATCAATGAAAAGAACTAAAGATCAGAGTTCATTGAAGAGGCCCACGGAACCTTCAAGATTTGAAGACTGCCTGTGTAGAAGAATAGGCCAAAATCACACCTGAGCAATGCATGCGACTAGTTTCTCCACACAGGAGGTGTCTTGAAGCTGTCATTACCAACAAAGAATTTTGTACAAAGTATTAAATAAATTTCAGTTAGCGTGTTCAATACTTTTTCCCTGCATCATTCCATTTTATTAGACATAACTTAATTTCTGAACTTACTTGTTTTGGGTTCTTTGTATGTATGGATTGCATAAGTTGTTACCGACTGAAAATTGGTGAACATTTCATGTCAATAGCACCTTTAAAAATGTATTCACTGAGAAAAATGGCGATTTGTCCAATACTTATTTTACCCCCTGTATACAGTCCCACACATAAAGATCCACTTCCAAGTAAGGCTGTGTATATGTGTAAAGTCAGCAGGAAGGGGTCTCAGCAGAAGCTAAAACCCCTCAGGGAATCCTGTGCAAAAGGCATTTGTTCCCGTTAAAATTGGTACTGTGGTCTTAAAAGAAACGTTGTTGGAGAGCTACTCTCTCTCTCCCCCACACTCTGAAAATACTGAACTTAGGAAATGGACTTCTGATTGGTGGTGCAGAGCCCCTGTCTCCTTTGAATGTTGCATACAGCATATCTGCAGTGCTCCTTGCCATGCAGCCCATGCCTCATCTGCTCCATTTGTACAAAAAAAAGACAGAACCTACAGCCCCCTCTTCATTCCGCCTCCTCTGCTACTGTTAAACCACTCAGCCCTCAGCCACCAACTAGGTTTGAGGCGATGACTACCGTAGTAGCTGGTGACTTGCGGCTGGGGAGCAGCACTGTCATTCACTAAAACACAAGCTGACAAAGTAGGCCTTCTTTTGGCAATATTGTCTTGCAAAAATGATTTTAATTTTTATGTAATTTATACTTTTTTTGTTTTGACAAGTATTAGTTTTTTTTAATTTGTTTTACTATAAATAAAAAGTATATAATAT